AAAAAAAAAAAAAAAAAAAAGATGGGATGGGATGGGATGGGCCTCTGTCTCCTTCCCTTCGTGAAATTCCAACGTCAAGTCTAGCCCAATGGCCCAAGGCAAAAAAAAAATCCATTCTTCTAACCTTTAAACCAGTATCATCAACGTATCTCCCTCTCTCCCTCTACAGCTCCGTAACTGTAGTATTGTTATTACAGATTACATTTCCAGCAGTATTAGTAACTGATACCCCCAAATGATAATACTGGTAGTAACTACCAGTATTATACGAGTAATTAGATGTATCATGATAGTACTACTCGTATTATATAGTATCGCACCTAATCGGGAGACGGATACCAATCGGCGTCTTACGCATGGCGGCATGGGAGAGTCACAGATCATATTACATATAATAATATTACACAGACGCCTCGGCACCCACCCCCCCCCCCCCCCCCCCCGTATGTGCCCGACGCAGGTGTGCCATCCCCGCTCCAGATGCCCAGCACACAATCCTCGTCTACGACGACACAATCTGGTCTGGTTGGAGTGGGTGCAAGTAGTAATGGTTATGGTAGTAGCGGTGACAGTGGTAGTAGTAGTGGTAGTGGTAGTAGCTGATAGTAGTAGTAACGGCAGTAACAGTGATGATAATCTAGTAATGCATAGTAATACGTAGTAATAATCCGAGTAGCATCAACTATTACCGTACATTCTTCAAATCACGCCGTCTGTATGGAGCATTATTAGGCACAGGGAAAGAGGTCAGATTATAATATATATATATATATATATATATATGCCAAGTAGTCGTGTAATTACATCTCATCCTCATCATCCTCCGCATGTAATCCTTTTATTCTCTTCTCCCGTCTGTCCTATCTGTTCCATCTGTTCCATCTGGTCGACTTTCTTTTGAGAGACTCCCTTAGCACGCTTTCGGTAAAAAAAGCAAGTAAAGAAACGCCGAGATGATGAATGCACGCTCTGCACGCATACTTGAAAAATTCCCTCGCTTCCTCTCTAAAAACGGCTCTAATCCCGGAGAGAGAGAAGAAGAAAAAGACACATAAACATGCTTTCTTTTTTCTTTTTTTTCTTCTTCCCTTTTTTTTACTGCTTGATAGCGTAGGAGCGCTTGAACATGTCGTCCACCTTCTCGAGGTAGTAGGTTCCGGGGGCGATGTTGGAGACGTCACCCTTGGGAACAAAGTCCTTCTGGAGGTGAGCCTGCTTGCGGAGGTCGCACATCTGAAGGGGAGGGGGAGGTAGAGTTAGTATCAGTGTCTCAGGATGAGAGTCGGGGCGGCTTGGAAAGAAGAAAAGAAGAGGAGATGAGAACAGGAGAGAGAGAAAGAAGAGAGAGAGAAAAAGAAGAGAGGGAATAGAAAAAAAAACATACCTCGTCGTAGATGGCAGGAGGAACGGCACGACGGGCCTCGAGACGGCTGGGAATGTTGAGAGTCTTGTGGATCTTCTCGACGTCACCGTTGATGCGGAAGGAGAGGAAGGAGGCGGCCAGGCCGGAACCGTAGCTGAAGAGGCCGACGCGCTTGCCCTTGAGGTCGGCGGGCTCGACGAAGCTGAGCAGGCTGGCGACGCCACCCCAGACGCTGCCGCAGTACATGTTACCGCACATGGTGGCGACCTGGATGGCGGGGTCGACGCGGTCCTTGAACGACTTCTTGGTGAGGCCCATGAAGGCCTTCTCGACGGCCTTGTCGGTCAGCGACTTCTGGTAGTCGACGTCGCGGATCTCGGGGGCGACGTCGGCGAAGGCCGGCAGGTCGGCGTTGGCGAGGTAGTCGTGGTAGAGGAGGCGGGCGTACGACTTCTGGACGAGCTTGCAGGTGGGGGCGTGGAAGGCCATGTAGTCGAAGCGGTCGAGCGAGGGCTTGGTGGCGTCGGCGGCGCCTGCCGAGAGCCTGGCCTCGCGCGCGCGGTAGTCGCGGTAGGCGGCGTCCAGGGCCCTGGAGTAGCAGGTGATGGAGTAGTGGCCGTCGACGTAGGGGTACTCCGAGGTCAGGTCGGGCTTGTAGAAGTCGTAGGCGTGCTCCATGAAGGTGCCGCGCAGGCCGGGCTCGACCGCGACGGGCGCGTCGGGGCCGATCAGCATGGCCACGGCTCCCGCACCGCCGCTCGGGCGGGCGTTGCCCTTGGCGTACAGGGCGATGTCGCCGGCGACGACGATGGCGTCGCGGCCGTCCCAGGCAGACGACTCGACCCAGTTGACGGCGTTGAAGAAGGCGTTGGTGCCGCCATAGCAGGCGTTGACCGTGTCCACTCCCTCGATGCTGGTGTTGTCGCCAAACAGCTGCATCAGCACCGACTTGACCGACTTGGACTTGTCCAGGATGGTCTCGGTGCCGACCTCGAGGCGGCCGATCGACTTGGTATCGATGTTGTACTTCTTGATCAGCTGCGACGTGACGGTCAGGGCGAACGAGTAGATGTCTGTGCCAGGCAAGAAGCCAGTAAGCAAATGATCCAGGTCAGGTAGTTTGGAGGGGGGGGGGAAGCAACTCACCCTCGCGGTCATCGCAGAAGGCCATCTTGGTCTGGCCGAGACCAATAGTGTACTTTCCCTGGCTGACGCCATCGAACTTTTCGAGCTCGGACTGCTCGACGTACTGTAGACCGAGGAGAGGGATAGTGTCAGCATCCTATGACTTTCCTCTTTCTCATCTTTACTTTTCTCTGTTGACTCTGATCGAGGGGTTTTGAGGAGGGGTAGAGGGGTAGAGGGGTAGAGGGGCAGCCCCTCCAAGAAGCGAGCAAGAGTCGACGTGAGCAAGGCGGCTGCAGAAGAAGACATGAAGACGAACCTGGTTGGGGAAGTAGATCTCGATGGCCTTGATGCCAATGTTCTGCGGACGTTGAGAAGCCATGATGAAGATTTGATTTGGGGGGAACGAGATAAAAGGGGGAGGATTACGGGAGCTAGAAAGGGGGGGGGGTATCAATGATACTTAAAATCGAGGGGCAGACGGTGAAGTTATTAGTAGGAAAAGAGAGCTAAGATGGGTGGGCGGTGGAGGTTCGGTACTCTGGCATTGGGGGGGGAAGTTGTGGATCCGGACAGAGTAGTAGACCCAAGGGCAGGCAAATATTAGTTGTCGTTTGTCTGTACTGAGGTAGACTCGTAAGTACGAGATGTATGCGTGTGTTTTCTCTCTCTCTCTCGTTCCGTGCTACTGATTTTTTTTTTAGGTGGGGGAGCCATTGAGGTAATTATATACGATCCAGAGTACTGATACTACCCGTATATTGGAATATTCAATATCAAGTAAAAAGGTGCGAAGGCGATGTGCGTGCAACGATTTATACCTGTATGGCGTATTAGGGCTTCAAAGTTACAAGTCAAATTCCGTTGTCGATTATTCCCAAGCAGGTGCGATGCTGTGTTATTACTGCCCATTCTCGTTCATTTACAAGGCAAGATAACTGCTACAACGGTCCGGATAAGCAAGTAGTACTACATATGCTTTAATCATACCACTACCGCCACCTTATCGGCTCTCTCTCTCTCTCTTCCTCCCGCCCTCCTCCATTACCTTCCGTCCCCCCCTACCCTTTCCCCAACGACACCCTGGACAGCTCCCGCTGATCGTGAGAAGAGAGTGCCAGGTGCTGACGGTTGGCGTTGAGGCAGTGTGAGATGGTACGATGCTCCAGCTGGTTCGGGGGTAGAAGGGAGATTGCAGTTACTCTATCAGTACATCAGTACATCAAATGTATCATGCATCACCTCTCTGCTCATCAACCACAAGTAATACCGAGCAGTGTAGTAATAATAGCGGTAATATTATAGTGCCTGTAGATGCCTTGGGCAATGAATGACGGCATGTCATCTACAAACGGCAGAATGCACTCAAAAGTGCAGAAATTATGTGTCAACTTTTTTTTTTGCTGTGAACAAAAGTGGCAAGTGCCAAGGTGGGTTGCACCTAACCAAGTCCAGCCAGGCACCGCTTCGGCACGTTGTCCTCTGATTAGTCCGTTATGGACCCATCGAGTCCCCTTCTTTCTCTTGGCCTCAGATTCCGCACTCACTAATAGTACTAGCGTCTTTTTATCTTTTATTTTATTTTATCTTATTTTCCTCACTCTCATACGTTTTCTCTCTCTCTCTCACACACACACACACACACACACACACACACACACATATTCTCTCCCTAATACTACTCACACACTCACACTCACACTCTCACACTCTCACACACACATACACACACATACACACACATACACACACATACACACACATACACACACATACTCACATACTCACATACTCACACATACTCACACATACTCACACATACTCACACATACTCACACA